TTGGGTGAATTATTTGCATAATAATTTTTGATTTAGCAAATTTTTGGAAAGCACTTTCGGTAGATTCTTCTTTCTAGCTTATCATGATCCCATTGGATAAGGACCATACACAAATGACGTAGCATATTTTTAACCAATTTTAGAGACTTTTCCCCTAAGTCGGTCACAACTTCAGATACGCCCCCACTCCCCACTCAAATGCTACGTCATTTGTGAATATTCCCATACTGAAAGTTTTACCTACGGTGAACGGCCTCGTAATGCTGTTGTATTTTATATGAACTGTTTAAATTTTAATCTAGAACGGAAACGCACCCCTAGCAATGCTGAGTTGCAGTCTCATTATTCGAGCACTATTTTTCACCAATTTACAACTGCTCGACTTTATTTCTGAGCAGGTTTGAAACACGAATCGAACTCTGCTTCAAATTTATTTGGATGTATTTATAGATGTTTCTCGTAAATGTTGATAGAACTTCATAGCAGTTGAGAAGATTTAATAGAAATTTGTGAATTTTACAGATGTTTAAGAACTTCTGAGAAGTTTGGGGATATTTCATAGACGTTCGGAAAACTACATAAAAATACGAAGAGCTTCACAAAAATATCGAAAAAACTTCGTAGAGAAAAGTAAACTTTATGGAATTTGTATTTTAAAAAAAATTCAGGAAGAATCATTGAAGATCAGGTAGTTTCATAGAAGTGTGATATATTTTATAAAAGATCGAGAAACATCATAGAAGTTCTGGGAATTTCATAGTATATTAGTAAACTTTGTAGAAATGCATGAATCGTCACATAATTGCATTACGCTTGCGTCTTTTACATCAAACAGATATTCTCTCATATGATACCAGGCTGCACATAAATTATTCCAACGATCTTCAGGTGTTCTAATGAGATCCATGAAGTCCTCTTGATATTTTTCCAATACTTCAGGTTAATCAGGTATTATTCTAAAGATCTTCAACTATCCATCAGATCAAATCACGTTTATTAGATTTCTCTCATGATGCCAGGTTGCCCAGAAAATATTATTATTTTTTTTAACTCTTTATTTGTTTCAAATTCAAATTAATTACATTTCATTTTAACCTAGGTGCTCCAGTTAGTACAGTAACTTACCAGCCTTAATTGTTCTGATATATATCTAAGTATTTTTACATTGTTCCTGTCTTGGCAATTCAGTATTTTAAACAGGTTTTTTAAACCTGCATGTCAGTATAACAATTGATATCTTAAAACTAAAAACTAAAACTAAATCTTATCTAAGTATAAAGAGAATTAATCGATTGCAACGATTTTTGCCTGAAGTTATTAATTACTTTGTTGGACATTTGTTCTAAAGTCTCAACATTCGAAATTCTAGGTATTTCGGTTAGTACTGTACCAGGGAGGCAACTTCAAAATCATTTTCAGAACTTTGTTCTGAATCCTTTGAAGTGCTTTTTTCCTGGTAGTGCAACAACTAGACCATATTGGCACAGCGTAAAGCATGGCCGGTCTAAAAACTTGTTTAAATATTAGAAGTTTATTCGTCAGGCAAAGTTTGGACTTCCTGTTTATAAGAGGATACAAACATTTTATATATTTGTTACATTTGGCTTGAATGCCCTCAATGTGATCTTTAAAAGTTAATTTTTTGGTCAAGTACTAATCCAAGATATTTCACTTGGTTTGACCAGGAAATTGGAACTCCGTTCATAGTGCCTATGTGACTACTACCAACAATCAATACGAAACTAACGATTTTAAATTGGCTCACCACTTTAGTAGCCTATTGGTCCCAAGCAAACGATTAACGTACCCTATTCTAGTTGAAATTCTATTACTACACTATGTTTGTTTTGATTCGCTATGAAAGTTTGACAGATAACATCAGGGGTGTGTGGATTCATGCATAACATGCAGGGGTGAGTGAAATAGCTTGGGACTGCTTGGGACCGTTGTTCTGGTACTGAGTGAGCCAAAAATAATAATGATTTTCTTCGGGACTCAGTGGTCTTAGAGTTACCCTGATGTTATCTGTCAAACTTTCATAGCGAATCAAAACAAACATAGTGTAGTAATAGAATTTCAACTAGAATAGGGTACGTTAATCGTTTGCTTGGGACCAATAGGCTACTAAAGTGGTGAGCCAATTTAAAATCGTTAGTTTCGTATTGATTGTTGCTAACAGGTAGTCGGTTGGGTTTGGAATTTTGATAATTTACCTGCAGAGTTCTGTCAGTTAAATGCCAACGGCTGAAAGTCTCCTTAATAAAGATATAAAAAAAAAAAAAAAAAATTCTGTCAGTTAAATAATTCTGAACTAATTTCATAATGTAAAGTGGAAAATTGAACTTTTTCAATTTAGCAATCAAACCTTCATGCCAAACACTGTCGAATGCTTTTTCTATGTCTAGAAGAGCAACTCCAGTTGAGTGGCCTTCAGATTTGTTTGAACGAATTAAATTGGTTACTCTTAAGTGTTGATGAGTAGTTGAATGCCCATGGTGAAATCCAAACTGCTCATCTGCAAAAATTGAGTTCGTATTGATGTGAAGCATCATTCTATTCATTATTATCTTTTCAAAAAGTTTACTTATTGAAGAAAGCAAACTTATTGGGCAGTAGCTAGAAGCTTCAGCTGGGTTTTTATCCGGCTTCAAAATTGGAACAACTTTTGCATTTTTCCATTTATCAGGAAAGTATGCCAAATGGAAACATCTGTTAAATAATTTTACCAAGAAAGACAAGGTACACTCTGGGAGTTTTTTGATGAGGATATAGAAAATTCCATCATCCCCTGAAGCTTTCATATTATGAAACTTTTTAGTTATAGACCTTACTTCGTCCAAATCAGTCCTCCAGGAATCATCAAAAATATTTTCCCGAGAGAAAATATTCAGATACTCCCGAGCAACCTGATTCTCAATAGGACTAGTAAGACCCAAACTGAAATTATGGGAACTCACGAATTGCTTAGCAAGTTTCTGAGCTTTTTCCAAATTTGTGATCAAAATTTTACCATCTTCCTTAAGCGGTGGAATAGGCTTTTGTGGTTTTTTCAAATTTTTTGTGAGTTTCCAAAAGGATTTGGAACTCGGGTCTAATTTAGAAATATTATTTTCAAAAGTTTTGTTCCTCAGGGCAGAGAATCGCGTGTTCTTTGATATTGTCTCCTACGGACATTTTTAAGACGGATCAAGAGCTGAAGATCGTCGTCTATTATAATTGAATCGAATTTAACCTCGCATTTTGGAACTGAGGCAGCTCTTGCTTCAACTATAGAAGTAGTCAGAGATTCAAGAGCATAATTATTTTCATTTTTTTTTTGAAGGAATGTTTGGATCGAAGTTGTATTCCATAAATGTTCGATATTGCTCCCAATCAGCTCTATGGTAATTGAAAATAGAGCTGTTGGGATTACAAATTTTTTCTTGAGATATTTCAAAAGTTACTGGAAGGTGGTCAGAACCGAAGTCAGCATGGTTATTGTCCAGAAATTATTCCGTGGACCATCAGGTGATCAGAGGTCGTCATGATAACCTTAGGTTACTTTTCCAAGACTTCAGATTGATCAGGTACAATTCTGAAAATATTCAACTATCCAACAACCCGAATCATATCTCTCAGATATTTTCTCATGTGATACCAGGCAGTTCAGGAATTATTCCAAAGACCGAAATGTTTTTTTTTTTTTAATATTTCCATAAAGTCTTCTTGATACTTTTTCAAGATTTTATCTCCCAAATATTCTCTCATGCTACCAGGCGACTCAGCATATATTCCATAGACCTTCAGGTGATCAGAGATCTCCAAAAACTTCTCATGATCTTTTTTCAAGCCTTTAGGTTGATTAAGTATAATTCTGAAGATCTTAAACTGTCCACCAAAATCACGTCTCTCAGATATTCAATCAGACCATGAGGAGATCAGCGGTCTCCATAAATAATCAACAATCAAAATGGCATCCCTAAGATATTTTTTCACATGATACCAAGTACCTTATTCATTATTTCATAACCCTCCATGTGATCAGATATATTTTTGCAAGTCTTGAGTACAATTCTGAAGAGAAGATTCTGACTTATATTTTTTCCATAGATCTTCAGGTGATCAGAGAACTGCTCTGGATTTTTTTTTAATACTTCTGGTGGATCAACTATTCTGATGATCTTCTACTGTCCAATAATACAAATCACGTCTCTCAGATATTCTCTTATGATACCAGGTTGCTCAGAAACTATTTCAAAGGCCATCAAGTTCATATTCGCGCTAAAATCACCGAAGCAAAAGAAAAACCCGCACAAAACTGTGCGTAGCGCTAATCACGTTGCAGTTCAACTTCTGACAGTTTCAAATTTTAGAACTGTCGAGCAGTTTGAAACAATTTTGAAATTCAGCATTGCGATTATTTTTAAGCATTCATAAATAAATCAAAATAATTTCCATCTCGAAATAATCCGCGACCAGATCGGCGAATCCACAGCCACCCCCAGCATGGCCTGCTCTTGCATTCGACTATTGTAGTAGGGACCTGAACGGATACATGGTGGAAATTCAAAATGTTCGAAATATGTATGGATACTAGGTTGCGAAGTATCTAAGCTGCTTTTAGAGGCCAACGTATTCGAATCTGTGTTCGCCAACGCACTTCTCACCCTTTATATCTAACCTGCATTCAGCATGGTCACTTTAAAGCGATCACTATTTAATACCCTCGTGTCAGGCAGCCCCCAAAAACAGACAACGATTCAAATTAGCCTACCTATGGCCTCTCCTCTGTCCTTCCCTTGCGTGCATGGTCACAGTGTCCGATCGGTTCGCTTTTTTGCAGGGCTCCACCGTGGAGACGGTTACGCAAGAGTTGGAAGGAGTGAGTACCTACATACAAAAAAAAAAAATGCTTTAAGACTGAAACCACCCGCCACATGATTGAGCATTGCTGATTTGCCTCCTGCCTGAATGTTTTTTTTTTTTCTTCTGCCCGTCTCGTTTTCATCACACATATGCAGAAGCCACGGCTCGTGAGCAGCAACAAAAGCAAGGAGCCGCTGCAGCCGATGACGAAAACGACGCTTTGGACGAGGAGTTTATCGCGTTCATGGAAGTATCGGCCAGACATCGCCAGGAACGGAGGAGATTGAAAAACGAAAGTGTTCATTAATTAGATTTATGAATAAATTAAGCAAGATTAAATATTTCGTTGCTGTGGCTCAGTTGGCAATCCGAACTCAAACTCCCTTACGTAATAAACGGCGGCGGTGGCTGCAAGGTACCATGGGAATGAGGGTGCATGAAACGAAACAGCATCTGGTATTTGACACGATAATGAATTATAAGAAAGGAGAGAAAATGGAAGCAGATCAGTTGTAGTTTCATTCATTCGCATGCCCGAGGTTGTCCAAAACCTGTCTACTAGCGTTCGAAAAGGAGACCCAAGGGACGCGATACTATTAGCAGGTGAAATGTAGTAGTTGACACTATTGATGGACATTCCGAATCGATCGCATTTTAACTTCGTCGACCTCATTTGCAATCAAAGCTGTATGTATCGATTAAATACTTGGTCGTATTAGAAGTGACACACAAGCTATGATATGATGCAAGACGTTTTTAAGCCGCCAGTTACCAGTTTAAGGTCAGTAACCTGCGTTTGAGTAAGAGCCTATTAATTACAGGCTTTGCGGTATCATTTATGGCCAAAAATTGATTTCAAACCTCAAGGCTATTGTTAAAATTCAATTTGAGATCCTCTGTCTTTTTCATATTGGTGAAAAAAAATCGCTTTTACAACAGTCAGAGTTCGCCGCGTCTTCGCGGTCGTATATCCTCCTCTCTGATCTCCTCGAGCTGCAAGAACCCAGCGGAAGGAAGGGTGGACTTGGCCACACAGGGGGTAAGTACTATAAAGCTCGCGATCCAGAAAGTCCAGTCGATCGTGTGTTGCACAAAAAAGGGTGAAAGAGCGTCGTGACGAAGGGAGTTTTGCTTTTTCTGCGCTGAATTTTTCAATTCAAATGTGTAATGATGATGATGACTGCTGCCGTTCGTTGCTGCTTCACATTGTGAAATGTGCATTCCTCGCGCGCGATTGTCGACCGCACGTAGTTGCTGCAGGCGAACCAACAACAACTGGGTGGAGGAAATCGCAAAAAAAAAATGTGATTTGCAATGGGTGGGGATCTACAACTGCACTGCTTGTGCAACCATTTCCCAAATGAGCGAGCGCGTGTACAATCGAAACGGCGATGAGCTCAAACACTTCCAAATTCCTCATGTTATGCAGTTTTCAGCCGATGACCAAACTAAGACTGCTGTATGGAGTAGGTATTTTGTATTGAAATTTAAATTTTCCAACCTTAAGCAATTTACTTTTATGCATTTACGAAAAATTAAAATACAGTTTTTTTTTTGAACGCATCATTTCAGATTGTAAAAAGCTCGCGGCATTTGGTGTAAAATAGAAAAACGAATGTAATGACGAAAGGTTTATGTAATCTGAAATGAAAAAACTGGGTTTGATTTCTTGGTCTTCGCATATATTGGTTCCGGAACAATATGGTGTGGCCAATGAGGAACATCAGGTGCAGGTTCCAGCAAGGTCCTTTTTGGGAACATTAATAATAAAGGGGGATACAGCCAGCATAATTGCTCTTATATCAATAAGCGTCCATGTTGTAATCGCATGCTTTGTAAATGCTTTATAAACGACGTATTTGATTAATTATTCCTCTACACAGGTTCAGCCCAACAACAAGACGAAATCAGTAGAACAGTGGTACCGTTTCCGGTTTTCAAGTAGAAGGTCGCGTGTTCAATCCCAAGCTCAACCCCAATCTGCTATTTTTTTCAGTTTTATCTAGTGTGGGACGGTACTAATGGATATATTTTTGATCCATTTACCCTACTTTCCTTAGATATTGGAGAGATGAAGTAGTAAAATTGGTCTAATGTTAAACAACAATGAATGAATTAATCATTCCCACTGGACCTTGGAGGAGATATAGCTATAGAGTGCTGATAGGTATTATTTCTCAAGCAAGCTTTTATTGATTCTAGCTGTTGCTAGCTACACTCGATCAACGATTTTGGATAATTGGATGCCAGAACGTGATTCGTCGTGCAGTACAGAACTGCCTCCGCTGCTGTCGTATGAAAGCGAAGACTGCCACTCAACTTATGGGTTGCTTGCCAGCCGTTCGCACCATGCCAGTGCGAGCTTTCATCCACGTTGGGATTGATTATTTATGCCGGTCAAATCATCCTCAAAAGCGGCAATCCTCGTAAACCTCTCCTAACCAAGGGTTACATAGTTGTGTTCGTGTGCCTTTCCACTAAAGCTATTCATCTAGAGGCTGCCAGTGATTTGTCGTCCGCAGTATTCATCGAAGCGCTCAAGAGGTTCATCGCTCGTCGTGGTTTATGTTATGTACAGAGATTTGGTCTGACAATGGGACAAATTTCATCGGTGCTGATCGCCAGAAGCAGGAGTTTTTCCAATCCGATGAATTTAGAGCTCAAGCAAGCCGCTTTTCTTCGAATGTAGACATCAAGTGGACATTCATGCCACCATCCGCACCCCACATGGGTGGTTTGTGGGAGGTGGCAGTGAAGAGTGTCAAAACGCACTTATACAAGGTGCTCAGTCGTGGACCGCAAACCTTCGAACATCTGTATACTATTCTCACCCAAGTAGAAGCCTGCCACAGACAAACAGACATAACACATTGAATATTTCTCACTGTAAAACATCGTCGCTGAAACATTAGCGCCATCTGTTGAGTACACTGAGGTGGGTAGTACGCTGAACAGATGGCGGTAGTGTGTAAACGTCAAACGCAAGGAAATTGACTATGCGCGCCACAGGTGGCGGTACTACCAACTACGATACTTTTAAATTAACCGTTAAATGCTTGTTCGATGAACAACTTACGAGTGTTATGTCTGTTTGTCTGTGAGCCTGCCTTAATTCAAGACCGTTGTGTGCCATTTCCAATTCACCGGACGACTACAATGTTTTAACTCCAGGGCATTTCATCATTGGGCAGCCGATGAATCTGCTGCCAGAACCATCAGTCCCAAACGTACCCGTTAATCGACTCGACTCTTGGCAGATATGTCAGAAGCAGCTAGAAGAAATTTGGCAGCGCTGGAGAAATGAATACGTTTCATGTTTGCAACCACGAACCAAGTGGCAATCTATGGAGGATAACCTGCAGATCAACAGACTTGTTCTAGTAAAAAATGAGAACACTCCACCAGCACAGTGGGAGCTTGCCCGGATTATCGCGGTCCATCCGGATCGTCAAGGTGTTGTGAGGACTGTCACACTTCGCAGAGGATCATCTGAATACCAACGACCGATCCACAAGTTAGTACCGCTGCCGACAGCTTAAGATATTGAGGCTCCTGCCTCAAGTTGGGGAGCTGTTTAGAGTAAATTGTTTTAGAGTAGGGGAATTTACGTAACCTAAGTAGTAACCTAAGCAGCGACCTTCTTTCTATAGCCTTTTTCTCTAAGGAACGCACACATATACAGTACTGGTTTGTTTACAATCTTTTGCTGCCAGCTGCTCTTACAATTTCAGTCGGAAGAATTGTCAAAAACTGTTGAAACGCTTTTACAAAGCTCCAATCTTCTTCAATCAGTTTTTCTTCGGCAACCGTTCCATTTGAACTGCATGTAAATCTGCTGTTCTATTATCGGCAACTCGAAATCAGCTACAATTTGTAGTGCGTGTGTTTCATTTCAAGAAAACCCTGCTAGATTGCTTTTTCTCAGTGGTAAAAATATAGTCAAATTGAAGCTGAAAGCATAAAGAATCGTTTGCATGCATTCAGCGAAGTGTTTTCGTAAGAAAATCCAGTGAAAATAGTGTTTCAATTTGAGTTGCCGAAAATAGTCTGGCATGCCGAAGCCGTCATTTCCCCTATATCAACCAACCACTCCCTCGCTCAAGTGAATTCCCGCGCATTATGTACCTTTGTTTTAGTCAGTTGCATATAAAAACCCAAACAAGATACAACGGAAAATAGTTCGTCGCGAATTTATTTCCGAAAATTAAACTGAAAATTTCGCTTGATACAACAACATTTTATAGGATAGCTCAGATGGCAAAGCAAGCGGCTGGTGATCGGAGGTACATGGTTCGAATCCCATGTATGTATGTAATACATTTTCTAATAGCTGTGTGGTGTGTGCCTCGTCAGAAAAATGAAAACAATAACTGAAGAAACAATCAACCCTGTTTCCTGTTATTATATTCGGGCTAATTTTCCCGCAGTTGAATAATCGTTTAATAAATGTATAATAGTGTCTTATTAAAACGTTCCCTCCCCTTGGCTAGTTTTTAACCTAGACGGCGGGCCTAATCTTATGCTTCATAGTGGACCGTTGGAGAAGGTAAGTTTAGGTCCGGCATCGTTGGCTCATGCCGTGGCAGAATAGCGTCATGAGCATGTGATGAGGATTACTGAGCTTCCTCGCTCTGATGAACCATTTCATGAGAGATCCAACGTTCTAGTCTGAAGTAATATTATCACACCTGATGCTCCTTTTTTTAAGAGCCGCGTCGTAGTACGCTTACGTATAGGCACTGACGTTGGGAGCGATACTGGCGGGTTTTCCCGCAATCACTCTTATTTTATTTATTTATACACAGATAGATTTATTTGGGTTTACACGGGAATTATACTATTTAAAAAGTTCAGAAAGTGCCCAACAATGCTCCTTCTCTTTGCGTGACAAGCTTTCATTGTTGTTTTCATTACTGCATGAAGCATTACTCAGGGAACAATGCTAAACACCATTTTTGTACATGGTATTGTAACTAATCTTATATATGCTTCATTTTGGTTTGGGATAAGTGTTTGAACTATGGCTCGGAATTTCCACTGTGGCGTGCTTCTATTGCGACATATGCATACGTAATTTTGTGGGACGACATAGTGGAAACGTGTGAGCGTAGTTGGAGCATATACCCTTTATAATTTAAAGATCAGCTAGGAAACAAACTTCAAAGTGAAGCATTTTAGTCACTTGAAGGTGTCACCTGGGATGAACTAATATATAATAAATATAGGTTAAAGCAAAAATCAACTTGAGACACGTTAAATTTTAGATTGGATGCACAAGTGCAGGTACTTAATAAAGCATGGATAGGTAGATTAGAGATTTCAATTATTTATTAAATTAG